GGAGCCATTACGACCGTTACGACTTCTATTGTAGACCCCGCATTAAGCCTTGAACTGATTCTACATTGTGATCGCATCGCAGCGTCGCAAGCGTTGCAATCCAATCAGAGTCGAGCTAGCTTGACGTTGATTGGACCGCAACGTTTGCGACGCTGCGATGCGACTAAGGGTGGAGTCCCATGAGGTGTATTTATCGCGTATCGCATAACCGCGTAACCAATCAGAAGCGATCTGCTGTTATAGTTTCGCGTTTTACTGATTATTGATTGGTTATGCGCTTACGCGATACGCGGCAAACATGCCTGATGGGACTTCACCCTAACGTAGAACCAGCTTTGTGTCCACGATGCTAGAAATTGGTCCGAAATGCGTACGCAGTGGATTTTCAAACTCGATTTTCTCGAAAATTAAGCAGAAGACCGAAAAATTTTATTCTACACATTTTGTTTATTTTTTCATAAGGAATCACGTCATGCCCGTTTTTACATATTAGATCTGTTCGCGTTGCTTGCACTCGGCATCTTCACTTTCTCTCTTTTCCAAGGCCAAAATATATCTATCTCATTTTAAGTGCAAAAATATTTGGGGATTTCATGCAACGCGAACAGACCTATTATTCGGCCGACCCTGTATATCTAGTGATTTTAGCTTGCTTTAGTTGCAAGACGACCGTCATTTCCGTTTCCTTTTCCAGTGTGTTGTAGTTCGTTGCTGAGGTATGTAAAATCGTCGATTCGTTATTTCTACAATATCACTCTAAATGATCAATTTTTATTATTCATCTTCGATTTACGATGCTGCAGTTTTATATAAAAATAGTACAAAAGTTGTATTAGATAATTATTTTAAGCTATATCGAATATGAAATTATTGATATCATGTGCCTTCAGATAATCGAAAGTTCGTTAGCATCGGAACATGTGGCGTGTTAATTACATTATATTCTTTAATTAATAGCGAATTCGATCACTTACACTACACTAGATCAGTGCATACTAAAAACTGCTTTACATGAAATTAACAAAGTTAAATATAAAAGTATATAAATATTTTAACCAATTAACTGTCTACTAATGATATAGTCGCGTTATTTAACAAACTATATATGTATCATTTTATATATTGCAAAGTTAATTATATTGTATCACTACATTGAAATATTTTATATAAACCAGCTTTTAACATGCACCGATTCAGTGTAGTGCGAGTGATCGAATTCACTATAAGTATGCGGTAAATTTATGAGAAAAATACTTTTTTTAAAATTTGAGAGACATAAGACTTAGAAATGACTCGCTTGTGGAATTTTGAATATGTAGGAAAAATATATTTTGTATTTATTGTCCTAAAAATGTATTAATATCATTTTTTAATAGCAATTTTTTTTATATTATCTAAATTCAATCTTTAACTATTTCTAGTCCTTAAATTCCCATAAGGAATCCCTACCGCACTATTCAAGATGGGTAGGGAGGATAAAGCAACATGGAAGTCAAATTACTTCACTAAACTTGTTGTAAGTACTTCCTTTTGTATTCATTGTTTAGTTCTAATCTCATCGTATGTATAACCTAATAGCATATAAATTGCTTATAAATACAAATATGTAATTTATATACATGTGTATATATATATATTTTTTTTTATATAACTTATTTTTATATTTATAAAATGTATAATTTAAAAAATACTTATCAGAATAATTTTTGTTAAATATTAGCAACTATTAGACGATTTTCCTAAATGCTTCATTGTGGGTGCGGACAATGTTGGCTCAAAGCAAATGCAACAGATTCGTATGTCATTGCGTGGAAACGCAGTCGTACTGATGGGAAAAAATACTATGATGAGAAAAGCCATTCGTGGTCATATAGAACGCAATGCAGCATTAGAGAAATTACTACCTCACATTCGTGGTAATGTTGGATTTGTTTTCACCCGAGGTGATTTGATTGAAGTAAGGGACAAACTACTGGAAAATAAAGTACGTGCACCAGCCAGGGCAGGAGCCATTGCACCCTTAAGCGTTATCATTCCTGCACAAAACACAGGACTTGGTCCTGAGAAAACTTCTTTTTTCCAAGCTTTGAGTATACCAACTAAGATCTCTAAGGGTACCATTGAAATAATAGTAAGTACTTGCGAAATTCATATTTAATTCTATCAATCTTTCACATTCTGCATGGATATATGTAATAATTACTGGATATTATGTTTTATAGAATGATGTTCATATCCTCAAACCTGGTGATAAAGTAGGAGCTTCCGAAGCCACGCTTTTGAACATGCTGAATATCTCGCCCTTTTCTTATGGATTACTAGTTGAACAAGTATATGATTCTGGTACTATTTTTGCGCCTGAGATTTTGGACATCAAACCTGAAGATTTACGTGAAAAATTCATGGCAGGAGTCGCAAATTTAGCTTCAGTTTGCTTGATGATTGGTTATCCTACAGTCGCTAGCGCGCCACATAGTATTGTAAACGGCTTCAAGAACTTGCTAGCTGTCGCTGCTGTTACTGAGGTTGAATTTGCGGAAGCTACTACTATCAAGGAATACGTTAAGGTGTGATTTTATACATTATATCTCATAGTTTCTAATTATTCTTGTATGAATATAATGATGAAAACATTACGCGTCTAAGGATCTTGGTTCACGTATCAGAGCTAGAAATAGTTGAACCCATTGACACGTCAAGATTGTTGTTGAAATATCGCACAAAAGTGCAGTCTGAATTAAACTTAATGTAAATACTCTATACATAATTGGTCGAGAAATCGTATTTATTAAAAATAATGGAATTGTTTATAGGATCCAAGCAAGTTTGCTGTTGCTGCTGCTGCTGTAGCAACTCCAGCAGCTGCAGCTACCGACGCTCCTGCTGCAGAGAAGAAGGAAGAGAAGAAGGAAGAATCAGACTCAGAAGACGATGACATGGGTTTCGGATTATTCGACTAATGCATATGTACTCACATTATATATGCTTAAACGTCTATCTGAAACAACCTTTGTCAAACAAGAATCGATTCAAATTTTGGATCATTTTATAAATGCTTCTGAAAATAAAGTAAAATAAAATTGAAAGGATTTTAGCTTTATTTATCATCTTTGTATTTCTTAACAATATTAGAAGAATTTTTAGTAATAGTGATTTCGCGCGCACATGTTAATATATACAAATTGTATGCTCATAGTGTGGCATGGGCACAAAGAACTCCCAATCAAAGGAACAGGCAACAGAGAACGAGAATTTCCATCTCTTAGAAACCATATACTGTAAAATATAATTTCTGATAAATTTATTCTGAAATTCTTTTTCTCTGTTCCCTATTCCTTTGTGTGCACTTGTACAGTCCTTAGAGCCTTGTGGTGAATTCGATTACTCCCACTAGACTGCATCAGTACATATTAAAAACCGCTTTACATAAAATATCTCAATGCAGTGATACAATATAATCAACTTTGACAATGAAATGATACATGTATATTTTGTTAAATAACGTGACTATATCATTAGTAAATAGTTAAAAAATCGTTTAAAATATTTATATATAATACTTTTACATTTAACTTCGCTAATTTTTCATGTAAAGTAGCTTTTAGTATGCACTTATCTAGGCTACGTTCGGAAACAACATTCGAGTGCCCCCGCGTGTCATTTTATCCTTTTTATTCATCCAATGTTAAATAAGGATAAAATGATACATGGGGGACACCTGGGTGATGTTTCCGAACGCAATCCTAGTGTAGTGCAAGTGACCGAATTCACTATTAAAAAACACAATAGGTGCATCCAGAATCACGATCGCTCACTGAGCTCTTGCATCTGATTAGCATATTCCATTAGAGTTAGAAATATAGACCAAACAGGTACAAGAGCTCACTAAGCGCTCATTGAGCGGTCCTGCTTCTGGATGCACTTATTGAAGAGCACAGGAGAGAGAGAGAGAGAGAGAGAGAGAGAGAGAATAGGCCATTATAAATCAGGCTCAGGCTTGACCCTATCAGAAACTATATACTAGAATATACGGTTTCTGATAGGTTAAAATCTATTATTCTATTGCCTGTGCTACTCGTTGTGTTCAAGGCTTAATTCCTGAACACACCTTGCACTGCTTTGCAGCCATGATGGAATTC